TTTATATTAAAAATCAAAGAGAAATTTTGTCACTCTAGTCTCTACAATTCAAATAATAAGATAAACAGATTTCAAAAATAACATCCTTTGCCAGGCATGGTGGCATATGCCTTTAATCCCAGCATGCAAGAGGCAGAGGCAGGCTGATCTCTGTGAGATGGAGGCCAATCCAGTCTACATAGCCAGTTCCAGGACACCCAGATCTACATGGAGACCCTGTCGCAAAAAAAAAAAAGACAAAAAAAACTTCTTCAATATTGCCTATGTCTCATTACACACTTCAGATATGAGGACTCCAGGTACTGAGAGAGGGTTGGTGAGTAAAGGTGCTTGCCACCAAGCCTGACAACCTGTGTTCAAACCCTGGAACCCATGTGGTGGGAGGAAAAAAAATGACTCCTGCAAGTTGTTCTCTGACATCTACACACACCATGACACACACACACCCACATATGCATACATATATACACACATACACATAAAAATAAATAAAAATTTAATAATGATTTTTTTAAGAAAAACTCTAGTATTCCACTAGATATCAACCCTACATATCCATACTGCTAGGTCTCTTATCTTCATTATAATGGCATCCAGAACTAATATGATGGGCTTACAGTTTAATCAGGAAACAAATGATCAAAAAGTCACAACATACTGCATTCTTTGCCTCTCACTGGGTCAGGCAGGCCAGAGCAATCCACTGCAGAATTCGGAATGGCGACCCTCCACCTGGAGCCACTGCTATCACATTCTGTATATTCAAAGTGGTAATCTTTCTGCAAACAATCACAAAAACAAGCCTTTGTTAGAGCCAATTCTAAAGGGACAGCTGTGCTTTCTCAACCATCCCAACTAGCCTCCAAACCTTTTTCCAATCTATACCCTCTCCTGGAGTCACAATCCTCTCGAACCCCACCCACACCAGCAGGCCATCAATCAAAACTGTACATGTAATGCACAGAGTGGGCGCTAAGGGTCTAATGAGAAGCCAACTCTCAGGTGTGGCCACTGTGCTTAGTCATATCCTCTCAGAGGGCTACAGCATACTTCCTGCTTCTCTTTTGAAAGCTTTTTAGGCTTTAAGTAATTGATAGATAGAAGAAAGAAAAAAAAACTAGAAAGTCAACTGCTATCACTGTCCCAAGCATTTCAAAGACAAGAACATTTCCATTGACCTAATTCTTATTTTATTTAAAATTTAACAAAAGGTATAATAATTAATCATCCTAATACTACTAAAAGAGCATAATTTCTTAAAGTAGTTATCTGAGGTTTAGTTCACACTCACTTCAGCACACTTCCAGTCATCAAAGACGTTAAAACAGACTACTGCAGTTGTCAAGTTAAGATCCACTTGTCTCTGGCCTCTAGTTGCTTTGAAATTCTCACAGTAACCTCCTCTGATCAGAGCACATTACATATATGAAAGTTTTGAACTGAGGAGTCATGACAAAATGTTACACGAACGTTTCAATAATGAGAAGCATTCCAAGTCTACCCCAAAGTATTTTCAGCTCAAAATCTTATTTCATTTTACAATGCTAGCGATTGAACCAAAGGTCTCACAACTACAAGGCAAGTGTTCTACCACTGAGCAATATCCCAGCCTTACCCTAGGTATGCTAAAAATTCCCCCAAATCATCTATTCTGGGCTCCTTTACTAAAAGTTCTCTTGATTTATCTCTTTCTTTTCATTTTTACTATAATCAGTCAGAAGAAAGGCCATACCTCCAATAGCTCTTAAGGAAATCTCCTCAGCTAAATATTCAAGTTCAGTGGTTGTAAGTTTTGCTTTTCAACATAAGCAGATACAATACTACTAAGCTTTCTGCTACTACATACAAAGGATCACCTTCTTCTCAATTTCCATGAGATATGCTAACTTCATTCCAAGCCCTCAACAACACTGCTTGGTATTTCTAATAATATTCTGCTCATGGGAATTTATTTACTGTATAAAACAATATAGACATTTTCTACCACGATCTTTAGTTTTTACTATGAGCTCACCAGTGGCACATTTTACATCCCATTTCTACCAACAGTCTGCTCAAGACAATCTAGGCTTTTCTAGTCAAACTCCCTCCAGTCATTGCCAATCACAAAATTCTGAAGTCTCCTCCCCACTTCCAGGTGTTTGTTATAGCAGTTTTCCCACAGCTCTGCAGACCTGAAGTCCCAATGCAATATGATGGGTCTGACCAAAATCAGACATATCAGACGGGCCTAGTCTACCTAATGGTGTTTAGTTATGGGTTATACACTCCTACGTGTTATTAAGAATGTTAATTCCAGGACTAGAGCAATGGCTCAGCAGTTAAGAGCACTGACTACTCTTGCAGAGGACCTGGGTTCGAATCCCAACACCCACATAGTGGCTAACAACCACCTGTAACTTCGGTTCCAGGGGATCCAATGCTCTGTTCTGACATCCAAGGCATTGCATGACATGGGTGCACTCACGTACATGCAGGCAATACAGTCATACACATAAAATAAAAATAATAAAATATTTTTTAAAAGAATTTTAATTCCTAGGTCATAAGAGCACTCTTTAATATTTGGAGATTTTCTCTTTTGTAGATGAACGAAACTTTCCTGCCTTGGCTATTCAGTCCCTTGAACGAGACCTTGACAGACTGCTCTCCTGTGCCAGGCTGCAGGGAGTAGGGAGCTGCCAGTCAGGCAGCCCTTTTTTGGCAACTCTGTGCTCACCATAAAGTAACCATACTCTACCTGCAAATAATATTTAAAGTACAGCTGAACCTACAAACTTCTGCTTCAAGGGGCCTTGCTCCACTCAAACTAGTCCAACTTAAACCAGGGTGGAAAACTCTGTGAAGGAAAGTTCCTGAAAAAACTGAACCTACTACAAAGGTGATTAACTGATTAGAACTTCCAAGGCTGGAACATTGCAACTCCAGAGCCAAACTTTCCTGGGGCAACTTTAGTTCCCTTAATGGCATTTATTACCCTCTGTAGCTGACCTGACATCTTTGTGACCATTGGGTAAATCTTTTGCAATGTACAGACACCTAGTTTCCAATCAACCAAAGAGCTAAGAATCAGATAGCATCTGAGGCCAACATCAGAGTTTTCCCCACTTTGCTGTAACCAACCTCCCTAATGCTTCCATCAGCATATTTTAAAAGGTCCTGATTTATTACTTCCTCTGTTCTGTTACTATAAAAACCTTCAACAGTTACTACACTGGAACATGGAATTTGGAGTAACTTAAATCTGTTCCTGGCCATGGTCACTCTATTTGACTCCAGAAAAACTATTTCTTAGCTACACTGAGGCAAGCCTTCTGTTTTGTGGTGACAAATTCAATCTTACAAACCTCAGTGACCTCCACATGACCCTGCTGCTCCAGATTAACCAATGGCAATTATCCTAGACTTTGTAATCAATCACTTTCCTCAAGAAGATCAGGCACTAGCAAGAATACCTCCAGGTGGTGACTTAGCAAAAAGCCTGTGATTGACAAAGAGGAGGGTGTGCCTCTCGAAGACTCCTGACAAGTCATCCTTATTCAAGGTTTGTGTGGTTGGGCTTTATGTAAAGCTTTAGTTGGTGGAATTATAAATTTGAGCAAAAAAAGCATGCTATACTTCTCTTGTGGCTACATAAGCAGGCTGTTTGCCATCTTTTTTTGGTTAGTTTAGGAGTCTTTTCTCCTGTGAACTGTATCCTGATGTTGCACTATTAAACCCAATAAAGGCTTCTCCCAAATGGCCTCCTTGCCTACTTGTGCCTTTATCCTGGGTAGAACATGCTGGGTGACTCCCAAAGAGCAGACATGTCCCCAGGGTTTCCAGCCCTGGCAGCAGCAGACATAGTGAAGAAGCAATTGAAGAATTCCAGAGAGCCAGAAAAAGCCTTGAAGGCCTCAGTAGCCAAAGCTCTAAGCTGTAAGTTTAGGAGGCAGCTGAAGAGCTCCAGCGAGAAACTGAGGGCAGAAACCATGAGCAGTTAAGACTACAGAAGACAGGAGGCTGTGAAGAGCCAAAGGCCAGAACCGAGATTGAGTGCTACAGGCCTTGGTAGCTAGAAGAGTTTCAGGAGATTTGCCAAGGGCTGAAGAGCCAGGTGTGCCTACAGCTAGGCTTCAGGAGTTGTAACTCTGGCCAGTGAGTACTGGCACTCTGAGCCCAGAGCAAAAAGTCTCAGCCTTGACCATCTATAGCAATAAGCTTCTACTCTGAAAGCTTAGAGCCTTTGTTATCCAAGGCTTAGAAATATAAGCCTCTGGGTTTGGACACTTAGGGCCATCAACTCTAATGGGGCTACTTCTTGCCTCTCCATAAACTTTACCTACATAGAGCAAAGGAACCTCCAGCCACCCACTTATAACAGAAGTATGGCCAGGTTGATCCATTCCTAGTCTCTTCCAGCTTCTTTTGGCAGCCAGCATTCTTGGCTTATGGCTAGACCACTCCAAACCCTCCCCTTGTGACTGCTTTTAAAGTCTACTGGGTGATACTCTCTCAAAATTCTCAATTTACATTCATTTTTGTCATATAAGACATTTAGGTTCTAAGGATTACAATCTGAGGATCTTGTTTTTGTGTTTAACTTGTTCTTAGAGCAGAATCTCTATTATCTCTATGGGAGAAAAGCCTAGCCTGGTCATGTATTTGCATAATGGCTTTCTTGTTTCTCTTGTTCCTGCCTATTTGTATTAGGATATCGCTCTTATTTCCATATCCCACCTAGAATATATGGGCCTGTATGTATAAATTTTGGTTTATTGCTTATCATCCTAGCAAATAATAATGCTATGAAGTATGGTGTGAATTTCAAATGAAGCAAGCCCTCTGGATAAAAAGGTAGACTCCTGAAAGCACTCTTCCACCACAGCCTGTGAGTGACTCAGCTCATCAGTTTTGAGACAAGAACAGCAGTAAGCACATAGAAATGGGTTGTGTTTTCTGACTGTAATGTTTAAGGTCATATGCCAGTTAACTTTCCTAAGACTCTTTTATTCCATCTACCACCTCTATAATACTCAACAATTCCAAGGGGCTATAGACATTATTGTTACCAAACTCTATAGATGCCTGCAGGAAGCTTTAATGTGTTTCTGTATAATTTAATAATACTGAAATACAAATCTGTTTCATGCAGAGGGCAGCACTTGGTGGTCAAGGAATTACATTGCAGCCTAAGACAGATGAATTTATTTTTAAATTTTTTAATAGGTTATTTCATCCATGCTCATAACAATTGTTAGACTGTTTCTGAAGGAACACTTAAATCCATCAAATGATCTAAAAATAGTATGGTATAGAAACATTGTTGAAAACATAACATATGTTCCCCCTAAATTCTGAGTGATATTCAGAATACTGAATAGTGAGAATTCCTATACATAAGTTTTCAGATTTATAGAAAACACTCCAAAGTCCTATAACTACTGAATAAACATTGAATACAAACTAGTCCTTCAGAAATACAAATTTCCTAGTGTTAAAGGGCATTTTTAAAAGGAGATAAAATAGTTTTTCATACAAATATAAAATTAATACATGCAAAAGATTCATGGTTAACTAGCAAGTCAAGTCAGTAAAATATTGCCATAAGTTCAGAGGAGAATTCCAGGGGTACACAGAAATAGGCAATCAGGAAAGTGAAATTAATTTACTAAAGTAAAACTGGTAAATATCCAGAGGGTAATAATCAATTGCATTACAAAGACAAAATGCAACTTCATTTCTGTGTGGGGGATACATTCATACTACTGTTTAGCTTCCTCTCCATTGTTTAAAGGCA